AAAAAAAAAACCCAGATTTACTGGTCTGAAAGAGACTGGAGAAACCCCGAGATATGGCCCCTGGACACCCTTTTAGCTCAGTACTGAAGTCACTCCTGAGGTTCGCCCTTCAACCAAATAGATTAGACGGGGCCCATAAAACAAAATGAGATTAAATGGGCACACCAGCCCAGATGCAAGGATGAGAAGACAGGAGGGGACAGGAAAGCTGGTAATGGGGAACCCAAGGTCAAGAAAAGGAGAGTGTTGATATGTCGTGGGGTTGACAACGAATGTCACAAAACAATATGTGTATTAATTGTTAAATGAGAAACTAATTCGCTCTGTAAACCTTCATCTAAAGTACAATGAAGAAAAATTAAAAAAATCGAGGAGGAAAGCAGAGGCCCAGACACGCCTGACACCTTAAGGTGATTCTGAAACTCAGAATCCTGGGCGGAAAAATGTTAAGCACAAAATATTGGCAACCATTTCAAAAAGAATCTAAGCACATGTAGGTCACATTCAACCTGCAAGATCAGTATAAAGGAATAGCCATCAACAGGAGATGGTGAGCTTTCTAACACAAAAATCCAGCTGCCATAGAATCAACCTTAACTCATGGTGACCCTACATCTATCAGATAGAAGTGGGCTCCATAGGGTTTTCAATGGCTGATTTTTCAGAAGCAAATCTCCAGGTCTTTCTTCAAGACATCTCTGAGTGGTCTCAACCTGCCAATCTTTCAGCTAGCAGCTGAGCACGTAAACCATTTGTACTCTAATGAAGTCTGGGTGACTATCCAGAATCTTACAGAAGGGATTCCTGCATTGAGCAGGAGGTTGAAATTATCTCTACAAAATAATCTAGATTGTTAGATTTCTACAGTCATAGAAAAGTTCCTCTGCAAGGGGACAAGTGAGGCAGATCAGGGTGGGAGATCGCTTGTGAATGAAAACTAAGCTGGGATTGCTACTACAGTTAAGCAGAGCAAGGCTCCTGCACCCAAAGCTTTCCCCCCACACAGTGTCCCTGGCTCTGAGAGAGCATGAACTCTGGTCTGCACAGGTGGGGCAGACACTTGCCTTTAGTGTTATTTGGAATTTGGGGAAGACTCTCCTTTATCCAGGAAGATTGCCCCCACCTATCTGAGTCTGAAGTCTGAAATGTTTTCATCTTAGACAAAGCCTGTTCCTGAAATCTTTTTCAAAATGCAGCTATTTGGGGTAGGGGTGGGGCTGGTTATGTTCTACAACTTCCCAGATGAGAATCTAGTAACACAATTAGCCACTAGCTCCTGCAGGTGATTGGTTTACAGGCTGGATTTCTTCCAAGACTTGGGGGATGGGGTGTCACTTGGCAGGAAACCAGTTGGTGTTGGGTGGAGATGGAGATGCCAAAAAGGGAGAGAGTTTCCTGGAGACAAGCTTAATCCACTTTAGTGCTTTTCAATCAGGCTATAATTCCAGCCCTGGGAATTTTCCTTAGGACCTTCCAATCTGATAGCCTTCCCCCAACATGGGCCTCCCTCCCCAGCTCTCCCATCTCCCCCTTCCAAGTCCTGGCACCTCCTAGAAACTATAGTTGTTAGTTGCCATTGGATCAATTCCAACTCATAGAGACCCACTATGCGTAGAGTAGAACTGCTCTATAGAGTTTTCAAGGCTGTGACCTTTCAGAAGCAGATTGCCAGGCCTGTCTTCTGAGGCACCTCTGGGTGGGTTCAAACTGTCAACCTTTTGGCTAGTAGTTGAGACTTAACTGTGCCACACAGAGACCTTACTAGAAACTATTAGGAAATTTAAAACAAAACTATATGATATCTAATTTTTCCACAGTATCTAGCCAGACTTCCTTACAGCTTAAACTACTGATGCTTACAATACCTGCCAGTCGCTGAGTCTGCAGATCGTGAACGGTCAAGGTTTTCAGGTTTGTCACAGACGTGATGTGCTGCTCGTCTTCTATGGTTAGTGGACTGGCGTCAACCATGAGAGAATGAATGTTCTTACAGGTGCTGAGTACAGAACTGAGGCGTCCAGCCATGCCAGCACATCTCTTAATGTGCAGTCTGAGGCTTGTGGCGGAGCTGAATATCTTCCCCAGATATTTGATATCTTGCTTACTCAACTTGTTGAAATCTCGGAGTGTGACATCCAGAGTCTTGAATTCCTGCTTCCAATTGAAGAACAAAGACACAGCCCTGCTGGGAATGTAGGTTTCTGAGGACTCTCCTGTGTGGGTCCTGCTGGGGTCTTCTACAGTCTTGTCCCATGCAGCCACAGCTTTTCCATAGAAGTCCAATTTAATGAAGTCCAGAGCACTTGCACAATTAGGCAAGTGTTCAAAAAAGTCAAATAAGTAACCAGGAATGTTCTCTGAGTTAATATATAAGCTTTTACCACGAAAGAAAGCTTCAAATTCTTTGCTTAGTGCTGATTTGGACATACTTTCATGGAATAAATTGATGCCACACTCTGCAAAGGAGTTTATGTTTATGGCTTTCAAAATTTCTTGCTCATTGGTGTTTTTCACATTTTGCATAGATTCCTGTCTCCAGAGAGGCCTCTTGGCAATGCAAAGCCCAAGGAGGCTGCCATGTTGATACACTGTTGCAAGATGTTTCATAACAATCCTGGTGGCTTCGGTAGATGAGCCACACGTGTACAGGAGCAGGTTACTATACATGGATGTAATGTCTGAAATGGAAGCCATTTTCTGCAGGTAACCATTCCCTTTGGTCACCTCCTGTGGCTCATGAGATGTCAACAAACTGCTGAGTCTTCGTCCTGCTATGTACTCCTGGAATGATTTATGAAAGAATTTATACTTTGGCTTGAACCTTTGAGCTGTGTATTTACAAAGAAGTCCAGTTGTCAGTAGTACATCCTCATTCACGCTGGACAAATCCTCAGGTTTGAAATCAAACCTGTGGCAGAACACACCTTCCAGAGCTAGATCTCCGCAGTGTTTGAGGCTCCAAGTAAATTCACTTGCAGCTATGCCTTTATGTTTATGCTTGTTTTTATGTATCAGCAGATCATAAAAAGTATGGAACAGCGTTGTTTGTGTGCTAGCGTGGAACTCAGTCTCCCCCATCTGGATTGCACAAGTGATGACCACAAAGAGAGGGGTCTTCATCAGTTTCCTCAAACTGCTGGATTTCTTCATCTGCATCAACAAGCCTTCAGCAAGCTCCTTTATCAGCACTTCCTGGATGAGAGTCTGGGCACTGTCCTCTGTCATATCTCCCACCTCGACAGTCAGAGCGCCAAACTGCCTGATGTGCCTCAGGCACTCAGTGGTGGTAGTGACAATGACCATATTCTTGAAGCGGTGATTTTCCTTAATCAGGGCTTCAATTTCTGGGCATTTCTGAGGTTTGAATTCATTGTAGCCATCAAGGAGAAAAAGAACACTTTGCTGTAGCCTTAGCAGTGTGGCCCTGAAAGTCCACTTCAAGATCTTGTCAGGCATATCCAGCAGTTGATCACACAAGGTTTCAAAGAGTCCACCCTGGGCCCTGCTCAGTCGGAGGAAGAAGACAAATTTGAACTTGGCCAAAGCCCTGCACTTTCCAGAGGCCCAGAGCATGGCGATTCGCTGGAGCAGAGTGGATTTCCCTTTGCCTGATTCCCCTTCAATGAGGCAGGGGCTCTGAAGGGCCTCCAGCAGACCACTCAGGGTCAGCTGCTCCACGCGATGATGGTGTTGGTCCTTCCTCCACAGAACAGGTTCTGTGAAGGTGCTTTTCAAATTAAAAATGATGTCAATATCCTCACCCAGGGGATAGAAGTTCAGAAAAGATGGGGTATGGTATAACTTCTTTAAATCTTGTGCCAAATTGTCTAAGTCATCTTCTGACATCTGATCAAAAAAACCTGTTACAAAGAGATGATGTTAAAGAGGATCCAAACTTGTGTCTCCTCAGAACCTAGAGTTTAGGAGGAAGAAGGGGAGTGATGCTTAGAAATCCCCCATTAGTGACTTTAATTTCCTTCCCTGGTTCTGAGCTGGCACAAGGGTTCCAAATATCTCCTCCTGGTTTTTCCTGTCACCTTCTACTCTCCTTCCTCTTTTGCTTTCTATTTCCTCCTCTCTACCATCAAATCTTAGAGCAGTTGGTTAGAGATGGGAGGAACCTGTGTTTGGGTTTACAAAAGTGAGGGGTATGGCTAAGAATGGTGGTTAAGGGTAACTTTCAGCAGGTCAAACCTTACCTTTGATTCAAATTTGTCTTGGCATAATTTACTAACTAAAAAAAATAAAAACTAACTTAATATTTTATGAAAAGCAGAATCATTCTCCTTGAGTTTGTCAGGCTCCATGATGTATGGAGTCATGGAGTAGGTGTTAGCTGGGCCATTCACCCAAAGATAATCCTCATTAGACTGAGGAACGTTGAGCACCACGACAGCATTTACCTTACTTAGCGCATTTATGGTCCAGTTTTATTTTGAAGCGAGACTGTATTAAATCATTCTCTAGCTAAAGTTACTTATTTGGCTTCACCACAAGTGATCTAATGGCAGTTTTCCGTGAGAGAGTCTGAGCTTTTCATTAGCATGAACCACAGCCCTCTGCTAGGTGGTTTGGAGAGGGAGGAAAGCAGGAGCTCTGTCATGGGGCTTATGGACCTTCTTCATGGTTTATTCTATTTGTAGGAACAGATGCAAGCAAATTGATACTTACTTTGTCTATTTAAGTCCTTAAATAGAGGATAGTTCCACTTCTCAAGAGATTTAAGAAAGAGGTTACAGGCCTCTGAACCCTTCTTTAAAATCATATGAATGGTTCCTCTTGCAGCATCCTGCTCGACCTTCTCACAGCAAATGATGTTTACTTCTTCATAATTCAGAACATTCAATACAAATAGATCATCCACAATTTGCTTTATAACAGTCATTCCCATCCTTTGAATGAGGTTTTGACTATTTTCCTTTACAAAATTCACTGAGGGAGGGAAAAAAATATATATATATATAATTTGTATATCAGCATCTGTTGCCAGAGTGTTAGAGCCACGTATTTTTGTTCCCTTTGGACCCATCTTGAGTTACTGAAGATGTGAAATGCTTGACTTCAGGCCATCAGGGAAAGCTCTGCAAAGCCCCTCAGAGTCCATGGTGAGCAAGATGGTTTTGCTTTGGTGATAAAGTAAGATGAGTAATCTTATCCCCACTATAAAATGGTCCCAAGTGAGGTAATAGTGGTTAAGATTGCAGGCTTTGAAGGAATGACATGACCTGGGTCCTGCCAATTGCTACCATCATGTTACCTTGGCATATTACTAAACCTCCTTGAGCCTATTTCAATGATGTGCCGGTAAATGTTTAACAAACTGGCTCTTTGGAGATAAAGGCCCTAATTTGCTGCATTTACCAATTTTCATTGTGTAAATATTCCCACCATGGCTGATTTCAAGCTAAAATGTGATGTCAACTGTCTAACAAAAATCCTGAAAATGTAACAAACTGTAAGAGCCAGCTCCAGCATGCCACTGGTTTCTAATCTGTAAAATGGGGACGCTATGGATTGAATTGTGTCCCCCAAAATATGATGAGGTCTTAATCCCTGCACTGGGGAATAAGACCTTGTTTGGGGAAATAGGATTTTTCTTTCCAGATGCCATCAGTTAAGTCAAATGAAATTGCACTGGAGTCGGGTGGGTCCTAATCCTAATCCATTCAGTTTTTTTAAAGAGAGAGGCTTCAGGGAAGAAATAGATGCCATGTGTCTCTGGAAGAAGATCCATCTATAAACTGCATAGGAATGTCAAGGATTGCTAACTGCCTACAGAAACTGGAAGAGAGGCTCAGAGAAAGAATTGACACAGCCAAGACCTTGATTTGAATGTCCAGCCTCTAGAATTGCAAGGAAATAAATCTATGTTCCTTAAAGCTACCTACTTTGTGGTACTTTGTTATGAAAGCCCTAGGAAACTAAGATAGAGGATAAAATAGCATTTAACTTATGAAGCTGTTATAAGAATTCATGTATTGTAATTCATACAAAGTAATAGCTCAAAATATGTTAGCTATTTTTTTAGCCATTATTCTGCTGCCTCTACTCAAGGGAAAGCACATTTTATCTCCCACAGACTTCAGTCTTTTCTGAAGAGTGTTACTGCAAAACATTTGTCTGCATACAGTCTAAGCTCTCTAACCTCCCCTGGTTACTGGGGAAGCCGTGTCATTTTTTTTTATTTATTTTATTGTACTTCAGGTGAAGGCTTAGAGAACAAATAGTTTCTCATGAAACAGAAGTACACATGTTGTTTTATAACATTGGTTAACAACCCCACAACATATCAACCCTTAACTTCTCAACCTCTTTTTTTTTTTTTTTGGTGAAAATACACATAGCCGAAGATACACCATTTCAAAAATTTCTACATGCACAGTTCAGTGATATTGACTACGCTCTTCCAATTGTGCTGTTATTCTCACTTAAGATGAAGGCTTACAGAACAAAATAGTTTCTCATTTAACAGGTACTACAAATGTTGCCCTATGACAATGGTTAACAATCTCACAACACATCAACAATATCCTTACTCAACCTTGGGTTCCCTATCACCAGGTTCCTTGTCCCCTTCTGCTTTCTGGCCCTTGTCACTGGACTCCTGTACCTTGTTAGTCTCATTTGGTTTTACGGGGCTGTCCACTCCCAGGCTGAACCGTGAACCTCGGAGGTAACTTCACCACTGAGCTAAAAGGGTGTCTGGGAGCCATACTCTCGGGGTTTCTCCAGTCTTCTTTAAGCCAGTAAATCTGGTCTTTTTTTTTGTGAGTTAGAATTATGCTCTACATCTTTCTCCAGCTCTGTCCAGAACCCTGTGTTGTGATCCTGGTCAGAGCAGTCAGTGGTGGTAGCCGGGCACCATCTAGCTGTACTGGACTCAGTCCGGTGGAGGCCTTGGTAGCTGTGGACAATTAGTCCTTTGGACTAATCTTTTCCTTGTATCCTGTTCTCTTCATTCTCCCTTGCTCCCGAAGGGATGAGACCAGTGGAGTATCTTAGATGGCCGCTCACAGGCTTTTAAGACCCCAGACACTACTCACCAAGGTAGAATGTAGAGCATTGTCTTTATAAGCTGTGTCATGCCAATTGAGCTAGATGTTCCCCGAGACCATGGTCCCCACAGCCCTCCGCCCAGCAATTCAGTCCCTCAGGGAGTTTGGATGTGTCTGTGGGGGGAAGCCACGTCATTTTTGTGTCTAGCTCTGCAGGGTCTAACTGTAAATGCAGACCACACTGTACGCAGGCAGTCCCTGTCAGCCCGGAAGAATGTCTCCCTGGCTTCTCATTCTTAGGCACTGCCTGTACTAGTTTTTGTCCTTTGCTTTAGCTCCTGGCTTTCACATATTTCTTAACTGATTGCTTCTGGAGAGCTAATGTGCTTCTCCCAAAAGTCCCAAGACCTCTGTGGTCTGAAATGCACCCTCAGCGCTCCAACCCCCAGGATGCTACCCCAGCTTGCCTTTCTCTACATTGCAGATATCAACTCCTAACCTCAGTGGAAATGTTCCACGACCCCATCTACATGTCCTGTCAGGGAGTCCCAGCTCTCTCCTTCTGGGGTCTTATCTATTCTCTCAGCTTTTACATTCTGTCTATGGAGATGACTTCTAAGTCTGTGTCTAGTCATGATCCTCATTTCACAACTGAAGTAGTATAGCCTCAGAAAGTCTAGAGACCTGTGCAAGGTCACAGGACTAGTCTTTTCGAGGTTACATTTCTTCAGCTGTAAAGTGAGGGTCATGATATTCTCTCTGACTACTTCAAAGGCTCATGATAAAGTTTGAATAAAGTCGCTTTAGTCATGTACATGAAAAAGTTTCAAAATTTGGAAAGTGCACTGCTATGTAACTGGAAGGTATTTTTTATTATTAACCATGAGACATCTTCAAGCATCTGGACCACCATATGTTTCCCTTATCAAGTAGTCAGGGGACAATGATGCTGCTTATTCATTCATTCAGTATACATCCTTATCAGAATATCTTTGTCCTAGAACAGCACTGTGCAATAGAACTTTCTGCAATGATGAACATTCTCTAGATATGCACTGCATAATACGGTAGCCATTAGTCACATGTGTCTGTTCAGAACTTGAAACATGGCTAGTATAACTGTGGAAGTGAGTTTTTAATTTGATTTAATTTTAATTTATTTAAATTCAAATTTAAAAAACCACATGTGGCTAGGGGCCACTGGATTGGATGGCACAGGTCTACAGCCAGTCATCAAAGTGATCTACAGTTTGCTTGCCACTTATAAGATTTATACACTGTTTCCTCGCAATGATCTTGACAAGTGTAGCTCTCTGTTGTCTGGTTGGGAGGTTATGGCTGAATAGATGACGGCAGGTGACCAACAGTTTATGACACACACCTGGCCATTCGTTGTGTAGGTTCTATTGTATCTCTGGTTCTGCCTTTTATCATGGGCTGCCATGTTTGTAACTGAATTTCCAAAACAAGAGTATATATTGGGAATTCCATATATAACTAATCAAGAGAAGGAATGAGTCGATTTCTCATTCAATACCATTAGCATTTAGGACACTATTTAGGATTATATAGGACATTATATAATCACGCAGACGTTTTTTCTAATATACTTACTTGTTCTGAAAAATAGTTTCCAAATGGGCAGGTCAAAGATGATCCCAGTAATGTCCTCTTCTTTCTGTACAACTAGCAAAACAGAACCAGAAACTATCAGAAGGGACTGGAGAGATTATCCATTTAAGGCTCCTCTTTTTATAGTTGAGGAGATAACAGCCCGAAGCAGTTAAGAGTTTGTGCAAAGCTGCTGGCTATTTATGGCCAAACCCAAAAGAGAACCCAGGTCTTGAGACCCCAGCCTAGAGCTCTAATCTATGCTCAACTTGAACTGTGCATTTCTTTTCAAAGTTTCTTTACATTGTTGCTGTTCAGAGGGAAACTTGCACTAAATAGTAAAAGATGATATGAGTAAGTGTCAAAATGAGTGGTGCAGAGGGTAAGTTCTCTCTAATTGTTCCAGAAAAGGTAAGAGCAATATGAACTAGAATCATCCAGGGAGGAAGTTTTCATGGAAGAGATAGCACACGAGCAAGGCCTTTAACAAAAGGTAAGATGAGGCCAGGTGGTTTGGCTGGGGTAGGAGTGGATGAGGCTTCCAGGTGAGAGAAAGAAGAGGAGCAAAGGTAAGAAGGCAAGGAATATAAGTAACTGAAGAAAGAGCAAGAGAAGTTACGGTGCCAGGATACAAAGGGGGAAAGCTATAGAAAGCCTCGACTGCCAAGATGAGGCATTTGTACTCTATTCTTTGGGAAACGGGGAGCCATAATGGAACCAGACGAATGTTCAAAGTGATGTTTTCAAGATAAGACGCAGATTTCTAGGTCCTGGTATAGTCCTGGAAATCCTGGGGGCATGGTGGTTAAGAGCTACAGCTGCTAACCAAAAGATCGGCAGTTCAAGTCCACCAGGCGCTCCTTGGAAACCCTGTGGGGCAGTTCTACCCTGTCCTATAGGGTCTCTATGAGTCAGAATCAACTCGACGGGAATGGGTTTGGTTTTTTGTTTTTGATATAGTCCTGACTTTTCATCCCCCCAAGACAGACAGTGAGGAAACAACTTCCTCTTTCTTTCTTTATCCTCTGTGCGGAAAAGCAGGTTCCCAGAAGCCTAATGCATGGCCTATCTATGAGTGCTCCATCTATGTCTATCCCTGAAACAGATAAATCAGATTACCCAAAACCAACTCCATTGCCATCATGTCTATTCTGACTCATGGAGACCCTATAGGACAGAGTAGAACTGTCCTATAGAGTTTCCAAGGCTGTAATCTTTACGGAAGCAGACTGCCACTTCTTTCTCCCGTGGAGCAACTGGTGGGTTCGACCTCTGTTTGCAACTGAGCACTTACCACTGAGCCATTATCCTCCCCCAGTTCCTCCCCCTATACACACATATACTGCCCCAGTGTCAAGATGAAGACACAAAGCCTATATTTAGAAATGACATTATTGACTGATAGAAAAAGGGAAAGAAATGGAATCACAGGGTGGAAAGAGGCCAAAAGAGGGAGCTATGTGAGTGGGTGCAAGTTTAAGAAGTTCTTAAGACCATCCTCAAGTTCAAAAATTCACTACGAGGACTTACAGAATCAGCAAAGCTGTTATACTCACAGAGTAATCATAAACATTGCTCAGTGAGCACTTTCATGTATGCATTTTTATTATTGTGTATATTTATTACCTTTGGCAATTTAAGTGGGTCACCATCAACATATTTTTAAAAATTAAATGAAACTATCAGAATGCACTGTATTATTTCATGAAAGTTTTGTTTTGAATATTTATGTATCCTGGCACTGGGTAGTGATATAAAATGTATTTGGCATTGTGGGTTGAGGTAAATAAATTTTGAAAGTCAGTGTCTTAGGGGAACTACCCAGGAGGGTTGGTTAATTTTTCATGGAAGAGGTGTCTTTTGAGTTGTACTGGAAGGAAAGCAAAGTTCACCAGGCAGTGGAAGTGAAAGGCCATTTCTAGGCAGAGGAAGCAGCACAGGGAAGGGGCAGTGGGGGAACAGCCTGAAAACAAGAGGCAGTCAGCACAGGAGCATGAGCAAGGGCCTATGTTTTAGTGTCAGGATTTGGTTCAAATTCAAGCTGGGAGGCCTAGTCAAGGGGTTGTGACTGGGACACAGAAATGACTCAGTAAATAGCAGTGTGATGGTTAAGATTGTGTGTCAACTTGGCTGGGCCATGATTCTCAGTGTTTTGGCGGTCGTGTAATATTGTGATCACTTCCCTGTTGAGATTCAATATATGATCACCCCCATGATGGTTTCTGCTATGAGTAGCCAATCAATTGAAAGGGAGTTTCCTTGGGCATGTGGCCTGCATCGAATATAAACAGACATTCTGGCAAGGCTCGGGGGCTTTTCCCTCGAGCTGGATCCTGCAGCTGGCTCCTATTCATCTGACCTCTTGTTCTTGGGACTTGAGCTGACAGCTTACCTGCAGTCTTGCCTGCTGATCTTGGGATTCATCGATCTTTGCAGCCTGTGAGCAAGAGCCCTGCCCTCTGACCTGCCAATCTTGGTTTTGCTAGCCCCAGCAGCTACGTGAATCAGGAGAAGCCTCCATCCTGACGCATGGACTTGGGACATTCCAGCTTCTGCAACTGCATGGGCCAGTTCCTTAATATAAATCTCTCTCTCTATATATATATAAATACATATTTACTGGTTTTGCTTCTCTAGAGAACCCAGCCTAAGACAAGCAGCTAATGACTTTTCTTCCCTCCCTCTTCACTCCTCTCCCAAAAGGGGCAAGTCTGGGAGAAATCTGACCGGGTGTGATTTTAAATGAGAACAGAGGAAAGGCGGAAGAAGATAGAGGAAGAAGCCAAGAAGTTCCCTATATTCACAAGTAAACAGAATAAACTGGTCCCAGATTTGACCATCCAGTCACTTTGTTAAAATAATCAATTAAAACTGCTGCATGGAACATCAGGCAATGGAATTTCAGCTGATTTTGAAGATACTGAAAATTCATATTCAGTTTAGATGCTAAAAGTATTCATCCTACTTACAGAGAAAAATCTGTGACGAGAACAAGTGAGAGCCGATTAAATAGTTATTAACTGCTCTTGGGAATAAAATCACCCCATATACTGGAGCTCATGTAGTCCACTTTCAGTCACCCATTGGCCTGAAGTTCAGGGCTATGACCAGTTTGCTCTCCAAGTTGCTATGAGTACCCCCCTACCCCCTCCTACCCCAGCAAGCTGTCCAGTAAATAATTATGAATTGGGTGGAAGAAGTCCTTTCTGTATATTTGCACTTTGGAAAACAATATCTAGAACTAATTCGAAAAAGGGCATTTTCTTACAAACGGTACGTGAACTCCTCAGAGAACTAAAGCTCCTAAGGACCCGTGCAGCCCACGTGTATGGAGCTATTCCCACATCTCGCAGAGGAAGTAAGGGGAAGGGTATAATTGGGAGCAGGGAGGCAGCACATGGAAGTGGAAGATGTGTGTGGCTTTGACATGGCAGATCTGAATTCCAATCCTCCCTCAGCAGTTTATTAGATAGGTAATCCCGGACTAGTTACTTAACATTCTGAGTCTTGCTTTCTTTATGAGAAACACTGATGTGAATAATACCCACTTCTTAGAACTGTTGTGAGGATTAAATGTGAAAGCAGCTGGTACAGAGATGCTCTGTGGCTGTTAGTTGTCTTCCATTCTAGCAAAAAGACTGTAGCCTAGAAGGTGATTATATCTCCAACAGACCCCAGTAATCTAACATATTGTTGTTAATATTAGTATTACATAGAAAATCTAACATATTGTTTCTTAAGTGGCAGGAGCACTAAACTAAGTTACAGGAGACCCGGGTTCTGTCCTAGTTCTGTAGACAATTAGCTGTGTGACCTGGGGCAAGTTATTTACTTTCTCTTGGCTACACATTCCACCTCTCTACACCAGGGTTGTAAGGATTAACTGAGATAATGTACTTAAAGACCCTGTCACCTAACAGGTGCCCTGTAAACAGTGGTTTCCTTCCCTTCTCCCTCTAGATACCAAGTTCTCATCAGTAATTCAGGGGTTGGAGGAATTAAGTAGTTCCCCCAATCCTTTCAGCTCTGACCTTCTGTAATGCTAACAGTCCCAGCAACAAGAATTTGTTTCCTTTCTGCAGTGTGAAAAAATATTTTCAAAGTACTTTATTTTGTCTCACAGTAAACCCAAACGCACCTCTTGGACTCAATGTACATTTAAACATCAATTCAGAGGAAAGTGATGAAACTCTGGTACACAAGTTAACTACCTCTAAAGGTTTCTATACAGGCAAATTCAGCCAGTCACCAAACCCACATTCCTCAATGTTAAGGCTTTTATACCTCCTTATGAGTTGAAATCGACTCGATGGCAATGGTTTTTAATGGAGAGGTACATAAGCTTTAAATAAATATAAGCCGTATTTTTAATATCTGGCTTTAAGACCCACTTAAATCTCATTCTCTCTCCTGACAGTACCTGACTGAGCAATCCAGTTGCCCTTTCCTTGGTGAATCGAAGACGCCTTTTTAAAAGAAGTTTGTGTTTTTTTTGTTTCTGTTTCACAGTGAAGTATGGTGCTCTTGTAATTGTTCTGTGACAGTGAGTGTAAGAGCAGGAGAAACACTGGCCAGTTTTTTTTTTAAAGCATACTAAATGTAGTTTGGACTCAAGTGCTTTCAAGTTTCGAATGGGAAGATGAGTGTAGGCAGAAGTAGCAGAAAAGAGGTGGGTGTGGAGACTTAAGCAGGGGCTAGAAATTCGTCTTAGGAAAAGAATTACTCATTTGTTTCCTGGTTTGTTTTCATTTTCACTTTTTACAACATATGAATCCTATTACTGTTGATTTATTCCTTCTGTAGCTTAAAACGAAATTAAATGCTTTGAGCATTTGGCCCTGGGTGGTACAAATAGTTAAGCGTTGGACTACTAACCAAAATGTTGGTGGTTCAAACTCACCCAGTGGTTCCTAGGAAGAAAAGCTTGGCAATCTGCTTCCAAAAGGTTACAGCCTAGAAAATCCTATGGAGCACAGGTCTGCTCTGACATACACAGAGTCACCATGAGTCGGAATCAACTTGACGGCAACTAACAACAACTACAACAAAGAAAGAGAGAGAAATGAATTGAACAGGTTTGGTTAGTTAAAGCATATTGCTATTGCTGTCAAGGTCATGCTTACCATCTGTGCCTTGAATCCCAAAGACTTCAGCAAATGCCTACTCTCAGTCACCAGGGTTCTGAGCTCAGTTGGCACTGACCGAATGGATCACCGGTATCAGTCCACTCCACCAATGATGCACAGGAACCGCCTGCTGAATAGGAAGAGCCATGGCTCGCACTGCCAAATGCACATTCAGCGTTTGTGGTTACAAACGCCAGGAAACACATTTGCACTCAGCGCTGGGAATGGAGAAATCTCCCTGCACTTCTCTAAAAATCAAATTCTTGCGTACTCTTTTCTCTATCTTTGCACAATCTACTGAGGACTTGTTATGTTGCATAACTTCTTATTTCAAAAAGAGCATTGTAATATTAGCCTATCCAGCACAGAGAATATCTAAGTTTCTCCCTAAATAAAATTCTGCATTATGGACTTTTTGGTGGGAGTGATAGCAGTGTTTCCCAACTTGTGAGGTAGGCTTCTATGATTTTTAAAATTGTAATGAAATTTTAATGAAACATGTAAATATATGTGCATAGAGAAAAAACTGCCAAGATAGGCACCAAAATATTAACTGTGCTTATCTCTGAGGGGTAGGACTATGGGTACCTTAAGTTTTCTTCTTTTCTTTATTTGTATATTCTAATTTTCTGTAACAAACATCTATTGCTTTTGTAATAACAAATGTTGTAATACCAGATAAAAAGGGAAAATGTAGAAATCATGGCAAAATTATATCCACATTCATTCAAACACATCCTCCATGCTGCCTCACCAGTTTCCTTTGCACATAGACTTGCAGTCAGGCGTTTTCAATGAACTTAGAAAGGAGAATTAACTAGAAACTTTTGCATTATGAATAAGTTTCAAGAGCTATGTCCTTCGCTTGTTTTTGCTCTTCTCCCAGTGTCTCCTAACTCCTTATTATCCTTGGAATGTGTTGTTGTTGTTGTGTGCCATTGAGTCGATCCCAACTCATAGTGACCTTATGTGACAGAGTAGAACTGCACCATGGGGCTTCCTAGGTTGTAATCTTTACAGGTGCAGATCTCCAGGTCTTTTCTCCTTCGGAGCCACTGGTGAAGTCAAACAGCTGATCTTTCGGTTAGCAGCCGAGAGCTTAACCATTACACCACCAGGGTTCCTCCTGAGAGTGTAGCATAGTGGAAGTGCTAAGAGCAAGTAATGCAAAAGTAATTGCAAATGGTCTGTAACACAGTAATCAAATTTAGTTTCCCCTTATCACTATTATTCATAGAATCATAAATTTGAGAAAGATTCCAGAGCTAATTCAACTTCCCACACAAAGCAAACACTAACGTCTTAAAAAATCCATGCCAATCAGCTGCTAAGGCATTAATTAGTGTGGCAGGGTGCCCATTATTTCTGCAAGTTTTCTATAGGATTCTGGCTACAAATAAGAGAACCCATTTCAGTGAGTGTAAGCAGGAAAAAAATTTATCAAGGATATCAGGTAGCTCACAGGCTCTTCAGGAGAGTCCAGAGAACCAGATTTGAAGGCTATGCAGCCAAGAACAAGGTCCAAATTACAATGCTAGATTGCTTGCTTGGAAACCTACTGTTGTCACCATTGGACATGGGTTCTGCAGTACTCTACAGCTAGAGTAACAGCACTGCTGCTTCCAAAATCTGGATATCTCCCTACCACCTTCACTGGGTTGAATTTGACATTGGTACAATCTTGGTTGCAAATATGTGCTTGCTTACCTCAAGGGAGGCAGTGAAAAAGGGTTTCTGGCTTCTACCTTGGGGCTGTGGGTAACATTATTTGGGAAATTTCCCAAATGTTTAAGCAAGTGTGTAGGGGAGATGGTAAGGCCAGGGCTTAATAATAATAATAATAATTTTAGGTAAATAATAGTTCTATCTGCTCTATTCTTTTTTTCAATGCCTTTGTTTGACTTAGTGTATGAATTTCACAGTAATAAACTCGGGTATGAAAAGATACGCTTTTTCTTTATTTCTCTATAAATCAAGCTGTTCTAGAATGCAATCTCCATTTAAATGATAGCACAAAACTTATCTACTCATTCTGAGGTAAACTTCCAGTTCAGTAATCCCTCAGTCTATTCAGGTCTATAACTTAGTCACATTTCAACTTAAAACTCCTGTGGATCTTTCCTCTTTTAATCCTTGGATGTATTCTAAGTTTCCAGAGATTTATACAAGGGCTGACCCTAGCAGCAATAAGGAAAACCAGAGTTATCTTTTCTACTCAGCTCCTATGACAGAGACTTATCATGTTTGCTGGCAATTTTGAGGCCTAATTTATGAATTACTGTTTGATACTTTCCCTCTATTTTTTAAAATCAATTTTAATGAATTATAATGTACATACATGAAAATGCACACATTTTAAGTTGTAGAGTTGGATATGTTTTAATAAATGTATACACCCATATGAAGACCACCACAAACATAATTACAGCATATTTCCATCACCCTAAAAAGTTACTTGGATCTACTTTGCAGGTAGTCTCCCCACCCCCAGCTCTGGTCCCAGGCAACCGCTAATCTGCTTTTTGTCATTATAGATTATATTTCTCTTATCTAGAATTTCATATTAATGGAATCATAAAGTACATACTGTTTTGTGTCTGGCTTCTATCATTCAGCATAAGTTTTTTTTATATACATCCGTGTTGTTGTATGTGTCAGTAGTTCATTCCTTTTTATTGCTAAGTACTAGTCCACTTATCATTATATATCCATTAATTTATTCATCTATTGATAGACATTTGGGTTGTTTCCTGTTTTGGGCTGTTAAGAATAAAGCTGCTATGAAATGTTTCTCTGTAAGTGTTTGTGTAAACATAGGTTTCATTAGGTAAGTACTTAGGAGTGGAATCATGGGTAGTATGGTAAGTATATTTTTTTAACTTTATAAAAGAAAAAAAACTGCCAGCGTTCTTTGTATATGAGAGTTCCAGTTGGTCCACATCCTCTCCAGTGCTTAGTATTGTCCGTTTTTAATAATTTAGTTTTTTGAAGGAGTCTGCAGTGGTGTAGAGCTGTGGTTTTAATTTACATTTCCCTGGTTACTAATGATGCTAGGAATAACCAAACAAATATCTGCTTTTGTGAAGTGTCCAAATCTTTTGCCCATGTATTAATTGCATTGAATTATAAGAATTCTTTAAGTATTATAAAGACCAATTCTTTGTCAGATATATAGATATAGATATATAGTGCCTATTTACTCCCAGTTTGTGATTTGCCTTTTCTTAACAATGTCTTCCACAGAGCAGAATTTTTTTTTATTTTTATGAAGTTCAATTCACCATTTATTTTTATTTTTTATTGTTGTAGTTTAAATGACGTTTACATTTCAAGTTAGTCCCCCATACAAAATTTTATACATACATTGTTATGTGACCCTAGTTGCTCACCCCATTCTGTGACAGCACACTCCTCCTTTCCACCCGATTCCCCATGTCCATTCAACCAGCTCCTAACCCTCTCTGCCTTCCCATCTCACCTCCGGACAGAAGCTGCCCCTTTGGTCTCTTGTATGTACTTGGCAAAGAGGCACACTCCTCATGAGTATCACTTTATGTCCCACAGTCCAGTCCAATCCCTGTCTGAAGAGTTGGCCTCGGAAATTGTTTTAGTTCTGGGCTGATAGCGAATCCAGGAGCCATGCTTTCCGGGGTTCCTCCAGTCTCAGTCAGACCATTAAGTCTGGTCTTCTTACTAGAATTTGAGTTCTGCACCCCATCTTTCTGCTGCTCCATCAGGGACTCTCTGTTGTGTTCCCTGTCAGGGCAGTCATTGGTGGTAGCTGGGCACCATCTAGTTCTTGTGGTCTCAGGCTGATGAAGTCTCTGGTTTATGTGGCCCTTTCTGTCTCTTGAGCTAATACTTTCCTTGTGTCTTTGGTGTTCTTCATTCTTCTTTACTCCAGGTGGTTGGGACCAATAGATGCGTCTTAGATGGCCGCTTGCAAGCTTTTAAGACCCCAGACACCACTCACCAAAGTAGGATGCAGAACATTTTAAGCTTTGTTATGCGAGTTTTTTGTTTGTTTGTTTTCACCATTTATTTCTTTTATGATTTGTGTGTTTTGTGTCCTATCTAAGATCTTTGTTACCACAACTTGGCAAAGCTTTTCTCTTATTTTTTTTTCTAGAAGTTTTATAGTTTTAGCTTTTACATTTAGATGAATGATCCATTTTGAGACAGTTTTTGTGTATGACGACTGTCTTAAGTTTGACCCAAAGGAGGGTCTGTGGGTGTAGTGGGTGGTCTGTCAGGTGTGGCAGAGGGAGTGAGATCCACACAGGAAGGCCAGGAAAGAAAGAGAATGTATTATCCACAGGTCCCAGAGAGAAGACACAACATGCCTTGCAGTGCTGCAGAGAAGGGACATGATGCTGGAATGCACTCAAACAAGCTGTGGGGAGCAAGAGAGAGAGAGAACCCATGAGCCAAAGGCTTTATTGAGGTTTTGAGGCTGAAGTCTCAGGGTTAGCATGTGCTCAAGTCGTATTGGTCAATTTGGAAGTTTCTAGTGTTTTAGTACTGGGAAGGAGGGAAATTTTATCACAAGAAATCATACAGAGCTTGCTCAGGAGAGACAAGGAGTAATTACAGCTGTTGAGAGACTGGGTTATATTATAGCAACAGTATCTTTGTCATAGGAATCTATATAGGGCATGGCCAGGAGGACCATTTACAGACAACATCTATTGAGGGGCTATGTGATAAGATAGGAATGGCCATGTCAGAAACTGGGTGAAAGGACAACTAGGAAGAATTAATGGATGCTGAGGCAGTAAACTGTGTATGTCTCAAATTGGCCTTGACAGTGGGAGGTAAGGGTCAAAGTTCAT